GCGGGGCCGAGCAAACCCCTCTGTGCCCACAGAGCGGGATGCGGTGCAACACTTGGCCCGAGTCTGGAAAGTGTGAAGCAGCTCAAGCATTGCCCCCCGTTACGGTTTTCTGTCTAGGGATATGTTGGTGAAACAGGGAAAGTTTAAAGCGAAGAGTGGAGGGGAGGACACCCCAGGCAGGCAGTGAGTGCCGGCCTCACGGCATGGCAGCGGCGGGAGAGGAACTGTGCTTCCCGCAGTGCCCTTCTCCCAGCCGCTGCCGCCCGGAAGCAGTGCTTGTCCTAGAAATTCAAATTACCCTTCAAACCAGAACTGGGGAGCAGTGGCGTTTGACCTTTTTTTTTTTTTTTTTTTTTTTGGTGGGAGAAAAGCACAACACACATGGGCTTATTTCTATATCCGCTCAGATGTAAGCATCACTCAGCAGGGCCTGAGCATCAGGGTAGGAGGGAAGGTCTTTGGAAATTGCCTCTCAGAAATACTTGACTCTGGCACAGGGACAAAAGGAAGTCTAGCCAAGTAGAGAAAAGGCGAGGAGGAAGATGAACAATCTCTTTCATGTTCAGTTTCTGTTTTCCTCTCTAAGCCACTCTAACCTGAAATTACAACTTTCCCAGTTGGTCAGTTTACAAAAGTTAGACTTAGTTAGAATTGATGTTTTAATTTCGCTTTAGGACTCTCAAAGTGAATTGACATAATATCCCCCCTCCTCTATCCCCCTCTTTACTGTAAGACTCTAACTTACTTTTCACATGAATCACACACAGCCCTTTTCTTCTTAGTCCTAATTGCAGCTTCACCGGGAAAACCAATTACATGCTTCAAACTGTAATCCAGAGAGGGGATGATGAGAATCTGCAACTCCTTGGAGACTTCAGTGGGGGGTGAAGAGGTCAAACATGAACCCACAGCAATAAACAGCAGCTATGGCATTAAGACTTTCATAAATGCATGTTGAGGTAGCAGGTACATGCTCATTCTATAAAAAGCAAGACCAGAAATCAAGCTTTAGCATCTGTTTATGAGAGCCTAGAAAGTCACACTTTCTGTCAATCCACTGGATCACTTGGGGCTATGACAGGCTGGTAACTTTTCTCTGTATTGATAAAGTCTTGAGAGAGCTTAAGGCCAGCATACTTGTTTTCTGTGTGGCAGAAGAATCAAACCCAGACTGAAACTTCCACAATTGTCTTTGTCCCCTCCTGATTTTACACAGGGCAAACAACCCCTGTGCAGGGCAGAGAAAGATTTACCTGAACTTTTCTTAACCCCAGCCTAGAAGTAAATGGATTCCTTCCTGTACCTTCCACTCTTCCCACAGAGACATGTTTCTATATATCCTGATCTTCTTCTCCTCCCTGAGCTGAAGCGCTACCCTTCAGGGTGACTGCTCAAAAAAGTGTGATGAATAGGGAACAGCAATATGTGCTTCTGGTGCCACAGAAATCAGCCAAGATACTGTGGTATTTGACACTAGGGTACATGTTACTCAGGAAACCTTCACTATTTTTTCCTGCAAAAAGTTCAGAAAATCTTTAGAAAACAAAAAATCAGAAGCAGCCATGCCTATCATGGAGAAGCAGAAAATTCCCCAAACCCAACAACAAAAGCATACCTCTGTATACCTCATATATATGCTATTTCATGCTTTCTGGCTAAGGTGGTGCATCAAACAAGTGTCTCTTTCCTTTTCTACTCTTGAGGAATGTAACACTGCATGCACAGAACAACTGCTGGGTGAATATTTATCCACCTTATCATAGAATATGTCTAGATCCATGAGAGCTCAAATCAGAGCAAATGCATTGTGAAAGACAGGTGAAAAGTCAGTGAGACCCACAAGTTGTGTATAGCTGGCTTTTATCATAATCATGCCCACCTACCTTGGGTCACACACAGTTGTTTCCTGTAGTCCTCAACTATTTATTATATTTGTGTAAGAGTAGCTCAATGGCTTTTTAACATGCCTGTCTTTTCAGGACAGCCAACAATAAATTCACCACCTGAGATGCACCCCTCCATG